TGTATGTTGGAAAATTTTCATCATGTCAGAAAAAATGCCTGTCTTGCAGGCTAATTAGCATTAGGTGAGACATATGTGAGAAGTGCCTGGCACATAATAAGTGCTCAATAAATAATGGTTGTGAAAAACCGCTTCATAGGAGAGACATTTTTTTTTAGTGTCAGTAATACAATAAGGCAGTTTATAAAATGTTCAAAAATACTTCCCAGTTTTACTGGTCTCCTTCACTCCGGAATAACTGAATAAGAATCTCTGAAATGTTATGTGTGAGCATGGATTTTTTCTTTGTCTCTTTTCTTTTTCTTCCTCCCCTCTTCCCTTTCTCCTCTCTTCCTCTCCTTCCCTTGAGATTATAAAGTGCTTCCAGGGCTGAGAACCACTGATTGGAAGAGGGCAAGTAATGGTGAAGTAAGTAAAGGAGAAAGAAGGGTTAAGAACTAAAAGAAAAGCCTCTGTAGTGTGCACAACAGGTCCCTGCTCTTCAGTACTCTTTGGAGTCATTTGTCCATTCATTCATTTTCTTTTACAGACTCAATTGTTTGCCTCCATTACTTATAGCCTCAGCTTCCTCATTGGTAAAACAAAGATAACAATACCTACTGCTTAGAGTTGGAAGGGTTGAATTTAGTTAAATAATGTATATAAAGTGCTTAGCACTTAATAAATGCTCAATATATAGTGGTTACTTTGTTATAATTAAAAAATAATAAAAATGAGAACATTATAATAGTGAAAGACATTACCTAACAGCTATTCTTGTCTCGGGTATTATTTAGGCACTGGGAATATTGTGATAAATCTTACAGATTCCATCACTTCCCTCAAAGAGCTCACAGTATCATGGGTGAAAAAGAGCTAGAAACAAGTTTAAGAGAGAGTTTTAAGTGCCAAGATAGAGAGGAGAGAATAGTGTGGCCCATGGAATCCAAGCCTAGTTTTGCTTCTCATTTTGGCTTGTCTTCATTTTGAAAGTGCCCAGAGGTACTTCAGTTTTATTGAACTTTTCTAGCAAGTTACTAAGGTCTCAGATATCCAGATATCAGTGACTCGTTAGGAAAAGGGATTGGTGCCTGTCTTTCATTTGGATTTGAAGGTGAGGGGTAGGGGAGAGATGAGCACAATATACCATTTCCTGCATTCCCTTTCCACTTCCAACCTAGTCAACCCATACTGAAGGTTTTTTTTCTGGTTAAGTTAGATTAGCTTCTAATTATAGATTAGATGATTAGCTCTTTAATATAATCACTGTTTAAACATTGCGGGCAAATACTTTGGCAAATAGATTTCTTTTTTTGTGTACACAGGATTCAACAAAATGTATCCAACTTAACAAATGTTTGTATTAAAGAAACTTTAAAAGGATTATGGTGAGTCCCAGCAAGATGGAGCAGTGACCTGGTGTCCTGATGCATAAATCTGGAGGCAAAGCCTATGTATTAAGTAAAGAGAAACAAAACGTAGTTACTATGACAACAGTCTGGAATTATATTTTATAACCACTTATATTACTAACAGGATTATTAATGCTACTTCATGTTGGCCCTCAGAATCGTGGCTAACAGTTGGTTCACCTGTCTTTTTATATGATAGCTTCAAATCAAGTTCTGTCATAATATTTCTAGGAGTTTCGAAACTACTATTTACAAATAGATTTACAAATAGACGCTGGGCCATTTTTGTAGATCTCTTTCAAATTTAGTGAAATGTTTCATTTTTACTTTTGTCTAAAACTACTATAACTTTGTGCATTGAAACCATGGGGGCCTGCCCTGAGATTACTGAGATTGCCCTGAGATTTGGAGGTTGATCAATCTGTACAAAGTTGAATTAATTATTTTCTTATTACCAAAGCAGGATGAATATAGACAAGCTTGTTTAACACTTTGGTGTATATTCTTCCAGACCATTTTATATTGTTATCATACATGTAATTTTAATGTAACCATACTGTACATACTCTTACAATCTTTTTTCACTTAAAACATCTTATATGTTTTAGCACATTTTTAAAGGGCTGCATAATATCCTTTAGTATGGATGTACCATTATTTATTGAATGGAGAAAGTAAAGGAAACAAGTGTCTATTTTTTTTTCTATTCGTAACTACATTCCATGCTGTGAGGAACATTTTTGTAGCTAAATCTTTGCATACACTCTTGTTTCCTTGTTTACAGTCCCACCAGTGGTTTATGAAAGTACATATTTTCCTATACACTTAGTATTTGCTATCCTTTGAAAATTTTGAATTATAAAATGTATGTGTTAACATTATAAAAAGTAGGAAAATGGGAAAAAATCACCTAGAATGCTATTTACGTAACATGACAGTGATTATAATATTTGTTATAGTATTCCAGGCTTTTGTCACATGCATAAATGGTTGTAATTATATTTACAGCTTTGTTTTCTGCTTTTTTCACTCATCATTAAGTAATTTTCCTTGCCTTGACTTGGCCTTCACAATTCCAGTTTTCAATGGCAACACGATAGTGCAACCACTATTCATATTTACCTAACTCTTCTCCTATTCCTGGATAACTAACTTGCTGCCAGTTTTTATTATGAATAATACCACAATAAAAACACAGAGATAGCTACCATTTATTGAACATTTACTATGAAACAGACTTTATACTGTGTACTTTTTTCTTCCTTTATATTATTTCCTTAGGATTGATGTCCAAGATTGATAATATTGGATCACGAATACATTTATGTTACAACCTTTCTTCTTACATCACCATTTTTTTCTGCCTTCAAATGTTTATTGAAAGCCTAAAATGTGCCAGGCAATGTGCTAAGGGGCATTGAGAATACAAAGATGAATCAGACAGAGTCCTTGGAGTCAGACATTAAACATATATGATAGAGGGACATAATAAAAGACATTACTGGATGATGGTCCATTGATCTATTGGTTGGTTCATCTCTCTGTCCATCCATCCGTCCATCTATCCATCATCCATCTATCCATTCATCCATGCATGATTTTCCCTCTGAAGCATGGGAGAGCTAGTTGCAGACATGATGCCCTTTTATCCCTAAATATTTCAGTATAAGAACAAGAACATTTTCTTAACCACAATCCAATGAACAAATTCAGGAAATTTAACATGAATGTAGTACTATTATTTAATCTGTTGTCCACATTAAAATTTCACCAGTTGTCCAAATAGTGTCCTTTATGGCAATTTTCTCCTCTTGTTCCAGGACCTAATTGAAGATCATACATTGCCTTGATTTGTGTTGTTTGTCTCTTTCTCCTTTAATCTAGAATGGTTCCTCAGCATTTCTTTGTCTTACATACCACTGATATTTTTGAGGAATGAAGGTCGGTTATTTTGTAGAATGTCCTTCAATTTGAGTTTGTTTGAAATTTACTCTTGTTCAGATTCAGATCATGCATTTTTTTCACTAATACCCCTAAGTGCTGATGTGTTCTTTGCACATCTTATCATATTCGGAGTCATGTGATGTCAGTTTGTCCCAGTATTAGTGAGGTTAAATTTAATTACTTGATTAAGGCAGGGCCTGCCAATTTCTTCCATTGTAAAGAGACCATTTTTTGCTTTTGTAATTGATAAGTAATCTGTGGGGAGATAATATGGAACTATGTAAATATCCTGTTCCTTATCCAACTTTCACCTACTAGTTTTATCATCCATTGATGATTTTCTAACTTCATCATTCCTGATATTTATTAGTTGGCTTTTTACTGTAAGAGCTTTCCTTTATTTATTTGTTTGTATCAGTGTGAACTCATAGATTCTTATTGAATGGGTTATATTCTGTTCCTGTCGTTATTTATTTTGATGACCAAATTGTCCCATACTTGGGCAGTGGGAGCCCCTTCATGGTGGCCTCCATGTGCTTTTGATATGTTCCCATCACTCTTTGAGCAGTTCTTTACTTTTTGGCATAGCAAGATGATCCACGCTCATCTTCTACTTTCCTTACTGTAGTGCTGAAATCAGCCATTTCTCCAAGGAACTTTCACCTCTTTTAGTTTAGAAACCAAGATATGAGCTGAGGTATATGTTTTTTTAAAGAGTTCCCAAGGCGATTTGCTGGTCTGTCCGGAACCCACTGTAATAGGGGCTTCCTGTATATAGGAGTTCTGTCCAGATATTTGCTAAATGGATAGGACTGAGGAGGAGTTGAAATAGTCCAGGGAGATGAAGGAACATAAGTAGAATCACAGTGTATGGAAGAGCTCAACTCATTCAGACGAGCTACGGTTCATTGTGGCTTCAAGTAGAGAAGCTGCTAGAGAATGAGGCAGGGACCAGTTTATTGAGGGCTTTATTTGCCATATGAAGGAACTTAACCTTATTGAAGATAAGGAGCCATCATAGAGTGTTTAAACCAGCTAGAGAAGTGATCGATTTTGGTAGATTTGCGTTTTAAGATCACTCTGCTGTCACCAGTGGCGTTGCATAGGATGGAGTGGATAAATGTTTAAAATTATTTTCAAACAGGGTTGGCATTTGCCTTCTTAGAGGGCTTAAACTTTTCTCCTAGAAGCCAGTATTGCAGCTGATGGATACTAACTCTCAAAGGGATAGTTGGCAGTAGTTTAGGGAAAAGAGGAAGAAAGAGTGAGACCACACAATATGTTAAAGCTTGAGTCATTGGTTTATCTGCTTGTGTAATGGCAGCATCTCTTTTAGTAGTAGTTTTACAATCAGGACTGGAAGCTGAATGTCACTGTTCTCCATTGAAAAATAACACAAACAAAAGTATATAAAACAATGTTATCTTTTTTAATGAAAAATCTTAATGAATATGAGTACTGTTACATTTTATTTTTATCTTTGGTAGTAACATCAATAATAGGATTAATACAGACATTCAATAGTGTAGATGCTCTTACCTGGTTTGTGAGTTAACCAAAACAGTAAATGTTAACAATTCATGTTTTCTGAAATAATAGCAAATTGCATCTTTAACTTGAAGTTTGCTGTTATCATAGCAAGTTTTATTTCTGTACTATTTATAGCCTGTATCCCAACCAGTTGGAGCTGAACAACAAGCAACTCTTCTAAAGCCAGATTTAGTTCGAAGGTGAGTATGTTAAAATTAATATCATGAAAACAATGAAGGTATGTTGAAGTATTTGCATTCATTAGGTGCTTACTGTGTCTCAACTATAGAAGCTTCTGTGTTCTTATATTTGTGTGTATGTTCAATAAAAATAGTAGGTATTATTTTACTTTATGTTAATGAGGATCATATGGATCATGAAATTATTGGCCAAAAAATTTTCTTGTTCTCATTATTATAACATTCTGTTCTTAAGAAAAGCTTATAAGGTTTAAAAAAGGAAATAAGAAATACATAATGTAATTTACAGTAAAATTCCAGGTAATCTAAATAAATAAATTACAACCAGATATATAATTGTATTATTATTTGGTAGTTGTAAACAAGTATTTCTGTTTATGTTGTTCAGATTCTTTCCTTTGTCCTATTTATTCTGCTATTGTGCCCATTCAATGAGTTTTTATTTCTGTTATTGTACTTTTAATTCTATAATTTCCATTCTATTCTTTTTTAATATCTTCTGTTTTTTATGAGATTTTCTGTTTTTTCATTTGCTTCAAGAGTATTTGTAATTGCTCATTGAAGCATTTTGATGATGGCTGCTTTAAAATCTTTTTCACATAATTCCAATATCTGATTCATCCTGGTGTTGGCATCTGTTGATTGTCTTTTTGCATTCAAGTTGTGATTTTATTGGCTTTTGGTATGACAAGGAATTTTTGTTTGTCTCCTGAACATTTTGGATATTATGTTAGAGACTCTGGATCCTATTTAAATATTCTATTTTAGCAGGCAGTCACCCTGTTTAGGTGTATAGGCCCTGGTGTACTTTTGTGGGCTGTGGTTCTAATGACAATTTAGTTTTCAGAGTCCTTGTAGTACTATTCTGATCTGCTTGGTTCACCTGACACCGCTGGGCCCCACTACTAGGCTCCAGCACTGGGCCCCACTGCTCAACCGAGGGGTTGGAGAGCACTTCTCTAAGCATGTTGCCCCAGGCCAGCTTTCCAGGCCACATGCTACTCGTGGAGCTCCTGCCAGTGTCACCAGGAGAGGAAAAGCCCCCTTGAACCACATTCTACTCCTGACTTGGGGGTCAGGGACCACTGGGCTTGGGCTGCCTTTGCCTTTGGGCTGGGAGTTGGGAGATGCTGAACCTGGACTGCCTTCTGTCGCTGGGTGGGTAATTGGGAGGTGCCAAGCTGCTGTATTTTTCCTCAAGTCCTGGGAGTCCCTAGCCAGTCAGTGCCCTCCTGTGATTGTCTACTGTATTATTTTGAGATTTTCTAGTTGTACTGAGCAGGGAGGAAAAGGGAGAGTTGAGTTTCTGCCATCTGGTCCTAAATTCTAAACTAGTGTTTTAAGGTAACTTTACGAAGCAAATGATATAGCCCAATTGACTAGAATTATGTCTCTTTTGTTCTCTGAAGGTGTTGTTACTGCTATCTCTCTGTGTATTAAAAAAACTAACTACAGTATTAATGTATCTTCTTCCATCACTTGTATTTAAGCAAATTCTTTTTCACATGGACATAGAAAAAATTTTAGGACTATTTTGATCTCTTCTTGTATATCTTTTTTATATTTATATTTATTTATTTTATTGTAGTAACATTGGATTATAATATTATATAACTTTCAGGTGAACATCATAATATATTTCAAATTCTGTGTAGATTACATCATGTTCACTACCCAAAGACTAATTACAATCCATCACCACACACATGTAAACCTAATTACCCCATTCGCCCTCCTCCCTCCTCCCTGCCCCTCTGGTATCCACCAATCCAATCTCTATTGCTATGTGTTTGTTTGTCATTGTTTTTATCTTCTACTTATGATTGAGATCACATGGTATTTGTCTTTCTCCCTCTGACTTATTTCACTTAGCATAATACCCTCAAGGTTCATCTATGTTGTCACAAATGGCCGGACTTCATCATTTCTTATGGCTGAGTATTATTCCATTGTGTGTGTGTGTATATATATATACCATATCTTCTTTATTTGTGCCTTGATGGGCACCTAGGTTGCTTCCAAGTCTTGGCTATTGTGAATAATGCTGCAGTGAACATAGGTATGCATGTATCTTTATACCTTTGCGTTTTCAAGTTCTTTGAATAAATACCCAGCAGTGGGATGGATGGATCATATGGTAGATCTATTCTTAATTTTCTGAGGAAACTCTATACTGCTTTCCATAGTAGCTGAACCACTTTGCACTCCCACCAGCAGTGTACAAGGGTTCCCTTCTCTCCACATCCTCTCCGACACTTGTTGTTTCCTGTCTTTTTAATTATACCCATTCTAACCAGAGTGAGGTGAGGTGTCATTGTAGTTTTGATTTGCATTTCCCTTATAGTTACTGATGTTGAACATCTTTTGATGTGCATGTTGGCCATCTGTATATCTTCCTTGGAGAAATCTCTGTTCAGATCTTTTGCCCATTTTTAATTGGGTTGTTGGTATTTTTGTTGTTGAGACATATGAGTTCTTTGTATATTTTGGATATTAACCCCTTATCTGATGTATGATTTGCAAATATCTTCTCCCAATTGTTAGGTTGTCTTTTTGTTTTGTTGATGGTTTCCTTTGCTGTGCAGAAGCTTTTTAGTTTGATGTAGTCCCATTTGTTTATTTTTTATTTTGTTTCCCTTGCCCAGTCAGACATGGTACTTGAAAATATGCTCCTAAGACTGATGTCAAAGAGCGTACAGCCTATGTTTTCTTCTAGAAGTTTCATGGTTTCAGGTCTTACATTCAAGTCTTTAATCCATTTGGGGTTGATTTCTGTGCATGGTATAAGATAATGGTCTACTTTCATTCTTTTGCACGTGGCTGTCCAATTTTCCCAACACCGTTTATTGAAGAGACTTTCCTTTCTCCATCGTACATTCTTGGCTCCCTTATCAAAAATGTGTGAGTTTATTTCTGGGCTCTCGATTCTTGTCCATTCACGTGTGTGTCTGTTGTTGTCCAGTACCATGCTGTTTTGGTTACTATGGCTTTGTAGTATATTTTGAAATCAGGAAGTGTGATAATTCCAGCTTTGTTCTTTTTCCTCAAGATTCCTGTGGCTATTTGGGGTCTTTTGTTGTTCCATATAAATTTGGGGATTCTTTGTTCTATTTCTGTGAAAAATGTTGTTGGAACTTTGATAGAGATTGCATTGAATACATAGATTGCTTTAGGACGTATGGACATTTTAACTATGTTAATTCTTCCAATCCAAGAGCATGGAATATCTTTCCTTTTCTTTGTGTCTTCTTCAATTTCTTTCAACAATGTTTTATAGTTTTCAGTGTACACATCTTTCACCTCTGGTTAAGTTTATCCTAGGTATTTTATTCTTTTTGTTGCAATTGTAAATGGGATTGTATTCTTAATTTCTCTTTCTGCTACTTCATTCTTAGTGTATAGAAATGTAACTGATTTTTGTATGTTGATTTTGTATCCTGTGTCTTGACTGTATTCATTTATTATTTCTAAAAATTTTTTACTGGATTCTTTAGCTTTTCTATATATAAAATGATGATACCTGCAAAGAGTGACAGTTTCAATTCTTCTTTTCCAATGTTGGTCCCTTTTATTTCTTTTTCTTGCCTGATTGCTCTGGCTAGGACTTCCAATACTACATTAAATAAGAGTGGTGACAGTGGGCATCCTTGTCTGTTTCCTGTTCTTAGAGGGATAGCTTTCAGTTTTTCTCCATTGAGAATGATATTAGCTGTGGGTTTGTCATATATGGCCTTTATTATGTTGAGGTATTTTCCTTCTATACCCATTTTATTGAGAGTTTTTATCATAAATGGATACTGTATCTTGTGAAATGCTTTCTCTGAATCTGTTGAGATGATCATGTGATTTTTATTCTTCATTTTGTTAATGTGGTGTATCAAATGATTGATTTGAAGATTTTGAACCATCCCTGCATCCATGGAATAAAACCCATTTGATCATGATGTATGATCTTTTTAATGTATTGCTGTATTCGATTTGCTAGTATTTTTTTGAGGATTTTTGCATCAATGTTCATCAGAGATGTTGGCCTGTAATTTCTTGTTTTTTGTTGTCCTTGTCTGGTTTTTGGTATCAGGATAATGTTGGCTTCGTAGAAGGAGTTAGGAAGCCTCCTCTCCTCTCAGTTTTTTGGAAGAATTTGAGAAGGATAGATATTAAGTCTTCCTTGAATGTTTGGTGGAATTCACCAGGGAAGCCATCTGGTTCTGGGCTTTTATGTTTTGGGAGGTCTTTCATTACTGTTTTGAGCTCCTTACTGGTGATTGGCCTATTCAAATTCTCTCCTTCTTCTTGATCCTATTTTGGAAGTTTGCTTGATTCTAAGCATTTATCCATTTCTTCTAGATTATCCAATTTGTTGGTATATAGCTTTTCATAGTATTCTCTTATTATCTTTTGTATTTCTGAGGTGTCCGTTGTAATTTCCTCTCTTTCGTTTTTGATTTTATTTATCTGAGCCTTCTCTCTTTTTTCTTGTTGTGTCTAGGTAAAGGTTTGTCAATTTTGTTTATCTTTTCAAAGAACCAGATCTTTGGTTCATTAATTTTTTTCCATTGTTTTTTTAGTCTCAATTTCATTTATTTCTGCTCTGAATTTTATTTTTCCCTTTCTTCTGCTGATTTGAGGCTTGTTCTTCTTTTCCAATTCCTTTAAGTGCACTGTTAGATTGTTTATTTGGGATTTTTCTTGTCTGTTAAGGTAGACCTGAATTGCTATAAAATTCCCTCTTCAAACCACTTGCTGTATCCCATAGATTCTGTCATGTCATCTTTTCATTTTCATTTGTCTACAGGTAATTTTGATTTCTGCTTTGATTTCTTCATTGATCCAATCAGTGTTCAGCAGCATTTTGTTTAATCTCTACATTTTTCTGGTTTTTCTGGTTTTCTTCCTGTAGTTGATATCTAGTTTCATAAATTTCTGGTCAGAAAACATGCTTGGTATTGTTTCAATCTTCTTAAATTTATTGAGACTTACTTTGTGGCCAAAATGTGATC